GCATATAGATATTATCCTATCACTGACATCGTTGTACTTCAGGATAGATCTTGAAATGTTCTTTTTTGAGGATGTTTGTGACACCATTCCTCTTCAATTTGTCATTCCTGGCATAGTAGGTCATATGATTGTCTGACTCAAAATAGCCACTACCACATTCCATCTCAGCTCACTAATGCCTAGGATATTGATCTTTATGTGTTCCATTTCATTTTTGGCAACTTTCATTTTCCTAGATTCATACTTTGTACATTCCATGTTCTGATTGTTAATGGATGTTTGCAGCTGTTTCTTCTCATTTTGAGTTGTACCACATCAGCAAATGAAGATTCTGAATGCTTGACTCCATCCACGTTTTTAAGACCAACTTTACTTTGAGGAGACAGCTCTTCCCTAGTTGTCTTTTGAGTGCCTTCCAACCTGAGGGGCTCATCTTCTGGCACTATGCTAGACAATGTTCTGATGCTATTCATAAGTTTTTTACTGGTTAAGTATTTTCAGAAGTAGACCGTCAGTTCCTTCTTCCTAGTCTGTCTTAGTCTGGAAGCTCCACTGAAACCTGTCTGCCATGGGTGACCCTGCTGGTATTTGAAATACTGGTGGCATAGCTTCCCTCATCACAGCAACATGCAAGCCACCACAGTACAACAAACTGACAGATATGTGTGTGCATTGCATTTAGCAGAGTTTATTTTGAGTTTAAAGAGACTTGAGTTGATGCTACTTTTTTTGACTCCTGGGCAGCCCAGAGTGATGCCTTTAAGATAATTATGGGGCCTTGGTTTGGGTTTACATTCATGATACTGTATAGTACATGACAGAAGGACATGAGTATCCCAGAAATGTAGGCTAGGTGAGGTACTAGGTGTCCTGCAAGAACTCAAGATGAGGAACGTTCTGCGTCTCAGTGGAATTTTGGTAACACAATGAGAAGTCCCTCAGTGCCACTCTAGCTCTGTGGGAAGTTCAGCGATTAAAGCCAGCAAGTCACTTTCAATTTGCAATTTCCTCTTCTGGCCATTGTTTTTTTGTGAAACCTTCAAAAATCCCAATGTGGAGAGTTTAAAGAAAACTTTTGCTGTTTAAGTCCCCTAGCATCACACCCAGCTGTCCAGCTGTCTTTCAAGGAAGTGGTCACTCTATTCTCTTTCTCTTCCACAGTAGCTTCCCAATGAGCAGTCTCCTAAAGTAGAGTCAATTATATGGCTATTGTTTGATCGCTGTGGTCAGGACCAATAGTTAGTGGTACTATGGAGATTGTGTAGTTTGTTCAATATAGTCACTGACTTTCCTGGGTCCACTACTGTGAATTCCTTTTATAGTGACCCATTCCATGGGAGGGGTGCACTTCATAGCCATTGTTATGGAATTTGGCCACATGACTTGCTTTGGCTAATTAGATGTGAGCAAAAGTTACATATACCATGTATGAGCAGAAGTTACTTGCTATCTTATGGTTCACAGTTACTTTTTTTTCTTTCCTCTTTTACCATGAGAATGGCATGACCCAGGTGAAGGTTGCCCTGTCAGTCTGGATCCCATAATGAAGAAGACATATAGGACAGAAACACAGCAGTTTTTATAAGACATAAAAAAAGTAGGATGCTAACATTAAGGGTAGTTGAGTGAAAAATATGTGGAAACTCTCTGTACTAGTTTTGCAATTTTTCTGTTAGTCTAAAATTAGTTCAAAATAAAAAGTCAAAAAGAAAGATACAGTGGAAGCCTTGTTGAAGTAAATTTTATAGCCTCCAAATAGATTGATGTCACTTAAAAAAATAAGTGAGCAAGAGCTCGTGAACATAGACGCAAAAATCTTCAAGAAAATATTAGCAAATTCAATCCAACAACATGTGAAAAAGAATTATATGCCACAATCAAGTGAGATTTAGTCCAAGTATGCAAGGCTGGTTCGACATTCACAAATCAATTAATGTAATTTCATGATGCAAGTAGCAAGAAATCCCATGCCTGGCTGGAGAAAAATGGGTTCAAGATTCCTGAAAATGAATACATGTGGCTTGAAAAGGAAATGGGAGCAGACTATTTCGGGGCTTGAGGACATGAGCTGCCCCTCCACCGCTGCTTCCCTCCTCCCAAACCCTCTGCCTCAAATCTGCCTGGCCCCAGACAGCCGGCTGCTCAGTAAGCTATCTGGTGATATCGCATTTGTTTACACCCACTCCCTTTTTGCCTCTTGGCTTCCGCTGGCATTTCAGATGTCACTCCTGATTGATAATCAGGGCTGAGGACTGGAGGGGTAGACAAGAGGCTGGGACACTGTTGGACCTGGGCTGAGGGTCAGTGAGGTCCACCAATAGCTGCCAGTAAATCAGCTGCTGACTGATTTCTCAGGGCATTTTGTGAGTGCTACTTGAGGCTTTGATGGAGGGTGCTCAGCCTGAATAAGGGCCCTAGACTGGTTCAGGGATATGGAAGCAGAATCCCCTCTCTTTTTCCCCAGCTCCAGTGGTAGAAAGGGAAATTTTCTAATAAGAGATTGGCTGCTAACCAAAAGGTTGGCAGTTCAAATCCACCAGCTGCTCCTTGGAAACACTATGGGACAGTTCTACTCTGTCCTATAGGGTTGCTAAGAGTTAGAATCGACTCGATGGCAACAGTTTTGATTGTTTTTAAGTTATTTAGGGCGGCTATAGCAGAAATACCACAATGGATGGCTTTAACAAAGAGAAATTTATTCTCTCACGGTCTAGGAGTTTAGAAGTCCGAATTCAGGGTGCAGCTCTAGGGAAAGGCTTTCTCTCTCTGTTGGTTCTAGGGGAAGGTCCTTGCATCAATCTTCCCCTGATCTAAGAGCTTCTCAGTTCAGGGACCCTGGGTCCAAAGGACATGCTCCACTCCTGGCTCTTCTTGCTTGGTGGTAGTGAGGTCCCACTTCTCTCTGTTTGATTCTTTCTTTAATATCTCAAAAGAGATTGACTCAAGATACAACCTATGGGGATGTGAACACAACTTGACCAAGACAAAGTCATAGAAGCTTTATAGACACATTCAAACTCCCTGAGGGACCAAGTTACTGGGCTGAGGGCTGGAGTCCATGGTCTCGTGGGACATCTAACTCAATTGGCATAACATAGTTTATAAAGAAAATGTTCTACATCCTACTTTGGTGAGTAGTGTCTGGGTCTTAAAAGCTGTGAGTGGCCATCTAAGATACATCTACTGGTCCTGCTTTGTCTGGAGCAAGGGAGAATGAAGAAAACCAAAGACACAAGGGAAAGATTAGTCCAAAGGACTAATGGACCACAACTACCACAGCCTCCACCAGACTGAGTCC